ACTTTTTCCGAATAAAATAAACTAGATTAGCAAATTTTTCATTGTGGAAAATGGGGATATTTGAATAAAAAAATGAAAAAAAAAAATGGAAAAAACGTCCACTTGTAATAAAATGTTAATAAAATGAATAAAATATATACAATAAAAATTCGGACTCAATCGGGATCATTAAAGAAACTAATTTTTAAAAAAAATTACCCCAATAATTAGCACAAAATGCCCCTGTCTAAAAGAGTTTCTTTTTGATTTAACTCCAATCAACATCACAATGTTTTTATCATATTTCCCGATTTTTTAGACCAAAATGCAGTGTTGCAATATTCATATAAAATGTCAAATGAAACAGAACATGTAATTATTTTAGTTTTCATTTTAATAGACTTTTTAACAATTTCTTTCGTACAAACCAATAGAATAAGACAATCGTTGTATATTATTATGCGTGGTACCACGTGTACACATAAACAATCAAACGCTTATAAATAACAAGTTAGAGATTTACATCATTGGGATTGTTTTTTGAGTTCAGAACAAATATTATTTTTGTATCAAACACATGTTTGAATCCATTTCATCAGTTTCATTAAGCGGAAGTTGTCCTTCTCCACACGCTTTTATGAGCAATTCGCTGATGTTGGTATTCGTTGGAATTGTATTGTCTTTCTTCAAATTTATTCTACACCCCCTTTTTCTTTTATTCGTTTCTTTATTAATAACTTTATATAAAACTATTATACTATATAATAGTTTTATATAGTATAATAAAACTATAATACTCGACCGTCGAAAGTTCATTTCAAGTCATTTATCCAGATTTTTAAAAGAAAATTTTCATTCATTCCACGACCCTCCACAAAACAACATTTTTCGGTATTATTAATAGTTAAAAGGATAGTAAACAATAATACTTTAACTAAGAACCAGAGAACACCAAATTACTTCTTTTTCTTTGCAACTTTTTTTGCTGCTTTTTTCTGTTGTTGTTTGAACGTCATTTTCCCGTCTGGTCCAAAAACCATTTGCCCTTTTTTTTGGATTTGAGACTTTGTAGTGTGCGTCTCATTTTCATCTTCTTCGTAATGGACTTCTTCGATGTCTTCTGAAGAGTCTAAGCCCGTCAGAAGACTTTGCTCCGTTATCTTCTCTTGAAGGTCTTTTTGGTCGTGCTCGATTTTCTGTGCAAAACGCGCCAACTCGTCCTTTTGCTGCTGGACTTTATTCTCAAAAGTCTTCCGCGCGTCTTCTTCGAAGTCAATCAACTTGACTATATCACCAATTGGTAATCTATTTTGGATTTGCTTTTGAACGTAAAACAAGATCGACAACACACTTGTTTGTGGGGGTATCAACTTCGTGTTTTTGAGCGCATCAAACATTTTTGTTTTACAATATGAGAAGATCGGTCCAGTGATATTAAGTGTTACTCGCTCAACAACTGCTTCGGCTTCTTTAAGTTTGTCGTCTGAGACACACACCAACGCTAAGTTGCATTCTTCAACACTCAAATCGCTTGCTATGCCTAAGTACTATATTTTTACTATTTCTTTTTAATTATTAATCATTAGAGTATAATTATAATTATAATATAATTATACTTATTGATTATATTATACTAGATATAATATAATTAATATACTAGTAAGAATAAACCATTTGATATATATCGTAATTTGAGTGTCTCTCCTTCTAACTCGATTTGCCCCGACAAGATACTTTCATCACCTAATGCCTCACTTTTTTGACTCGTCTCTTTCTCAAGAGATGTAAGAAGTTCTTTCATTAATGGCTGGTCACCCACAACAGCTACATTCAAGACTCCCATTTTGTCTTTTATTAACTATAAGTTCTTCTTTTGTGATAAAAAGTAGTATAGATTAATACTAATAAAATATACTATTTAAATACTAGTAACACAATAAACTAAAAAATCAAGAAGTGATGGAAATTCCTTTTATATTTCACTTTCTTTTTGCGGTGTGTATACGTCTCGCACTTTTCTATGTCGTTCCCATGTACGCAATACCAAATAGAGTCGAGTTCAATACATCACCATATTCCCTTTTGGATAAACCCGACGACTCATTGTTGTCAATACTCTTCACTTTTATTCCTTTCGACACAATTCCACTGGTCACGTTACTTTTATCAACATTACCAGCTCTTATACTCTCATCACTCTCAAAGACTTCCGCTTGTGTGTTTCTCTATAACCCATTCTCAATTATCGCGTCACTTGCCGTCTCAAGTCAATCCCTTGTCCAAACCCTAATGGCATTTCTCTTTGTTCTCCCGAAGAACAAAGTCACACAACACATCTTCTCGCCACTGCTCCCAATTTTAATCGCAATATACCCACAAGCATTCCCATTACTACTTCCACTCTTAACTTCCCTCTCCCCAACGGTGCTCTTGGGACTTCCAGTAGTCTTCCTGTCTTATTCAAACTTCGGCTTCCCAACACACTTCTTTGTCACGGACCTCACTCCAAACATCGGATTGTATTGGTACTTATTCACTAATATGTTCCAAGAGTACTCTTTACTCTATACAGTAGTGTTACCTTTGATACCACTCTTTGTCTCACTCATTATGTACCCACATATGAAGGACCACAAGTTCTATTACACGTACGTCGTCGCCATTTTGATTGCTGTGTGCAACCCATACATCTCACTCCAAGACGTTTTAATACCAATGGCGCTCTTTAACATCACTTGGTCCAATTTGTGCGTCTACTTCTGGAAGCTCAAAGTCGTCGCCTTTGTCTTCCCTGTCATGGTCTTACTCTTCTCCATTTTCAACGACTTTTATAAATACGTTTGTCGTCTTTTTAAGAATCAATATCATCATTTATATATAAATATATATATTCACTACTAGTCCTACTTCAATAGTAACATGATCTATGCTATGAACCTCGGCATCGGCTTCACACTCTTTTCTACCTGCGAAGAAACAGTCAACGGATGTCTCCACAACGACTTCTTAGTCGCAAACAAGAGGACGGACCACGCAATCGATACAATTTATTGAGTTGTTCTTCTCAATGTTCTTTCCACTGTTGTATGTATTGTGCGGCACAAACAACTCACACAAAAAAATCATTTAAGATATGAAGCCGCATTATTCAGGCACGTCAGAGTGTCTTTCAAGTATTGGATCGTCACGTTTTCATCGTCTTGAATCTTCCTTTCCATCAGAAGAATCAATTTGTCTATTAAGTCCTTCGTTTTTGGGATCAACGCCTCGTCGCACTCAACATTTTTGTGCGCAACGGTGTTTGTCTTTCCCGAGAGAAATTGGATCCCTGCAATGAACTCCACAGAGCAGTGGTATAACTTCTTTGAGTCATTACACACGTGCACTTTATGTCTAATATGGTGACACTTCTTTATCACCTTTTTCAATTCATTTTTCAGTGGGTCTGGCATCGTCTGTCTCTTCTCAAGTGACGCTTTATACTCTTTCACACTCATCGTAACAGCTTTCCCTCGTTGTCCGTCTTCAACTGTATTCTCTTTCGACACTTTGTTCTTATACGACTCTTGGCACGCCTTCATAAACTCTTCCGAATCACTCCCAGACCTCCCTTCTGACGATTGCTCGTCTTCAGAACTTGTCGGGGAGAAGACTTCTGGAATAGGTTCTTGGACAACTTCCGTCGCACTCGGAAGAGGTTCGTTACTCTCCACTTTCCTTTGGACTGGTGCATTTTGTTGTTGTTTATCAACAAGTTGATCTTTCGGAGACAAATCGACTTGAACAGCAGACGTTTTCGCCTCTTGTTGTTTTCGAAATTCTTCGAGTTTCTTCAGTCGTGTTTGCATCACTAATAAAGTGATCTCCGGTAACGTCTTTTGGTCCGGGAGGACCTCTCCCAGCTTCAAATACAAATCGACAACGCGCTCATTCAGTTGATTCACTTCGTACTCGTAATTCACTATCGCCTGTTTCATCGTTTTCATCATTAAATTCAGCACCGCGTTCTGGTCAGCGTATGTGAACGACCGCATCAAATTCGAGTTCGACAACATCGCCGAGAGTTTCACTTTAGTCCCTGGCATCTCGTCAACCGCTTCCATAAAAGCGTTCATTTGTTCTTCCTTGAACGACGAGATGACTTTAAGTATAGTCGGCGTCGAATTGATCACAACCTCGTCGGTGACATATCGATTCGTTATCGGTCGTTTCATGTTACTCGAGATATTCGTTAAAAAGGTATTAATAGAACTGTACTGTGTCGTTACATACTCAACAAACGGGTACATAAATTCTTCTTTAAAAGGTTCTGGTGGTTGATTAGCCATAGCCTGGACTATTTTTCCGATGAGTATAAGTGTACGAGCTCCTGTTTCATTGGCGAGTACCACTAGGAGTTAATGTTTTATTAATAAATATAGTATAATACAGTTTAATAAATAATAGCAAACTCTGTGCTCCAAACCGTTGTGGGGATACCAGTGCTGGGTTAATGAATCTGAGGAACAGAAATCCCCCGATAGCAATCAAAGAGTTTTCTGGCCACTTTTTGGAGACTTCATTTTTGATACAGGAGAAGATGAAAGTGAGAGATGGGGTGAGAAGACTTTTCAAGTATTCCCATTTACAGACCTTTTCTTTTAATATTGACATCAGTGTGACCACGTTTTGATCGGCTTCTTGTTGTGAAGTTTTGACGGGGTCGACTTCGAGTACGTTTGGAAGGGAGTTGACGGTTTGAATGATTGGGTTGATATAATTCTCTAATACAGATAACCCCTCTTTCCTCATAAACGATGACATGAAGTGTGTGATCCCTCCATTCACTCGAAACAGTTGTTCCTTGTCTTTGGTGAGTTTCACTTCTTCATAGATGTGTTGTTGAAGAATATACAAAAGCACTCCATCCGAATCTAAACAGTCTCGTAACGCGTCCCAGAATGGGATCAGCTCTTGTCCACAGTGTCTAATCAAGCACGACACAATGTGGTAATTGTCAAGTCGGCAGATCTGCACATCAGACCAATACTATATATATAACTATAATTATACTATAATTATACTATTGTGTATGAGAAGAAAAAAATAGAAAAAAGAACTACAAACATTCCAAAACGCGTTGGCCCGGACACTCTCAGGGATGTCCAATGAAATCTCAATCTCCTCTTTTTTCGGTTTTTTCTTAAAAATCGACAATCTACCTGCACTTGTTTTCATTCCTTTATTCAGTTCTTTTCTTTTAGTTTTTCTTGCAAACTTTTGGAAGTTTTCCTTTGCACTTTGTAGTTGCTTTTTTGTTATTTTAATCTGGTCTTTTTTATTACCACCAAAAACATTTGTCGATTTGAAGTATAATTAAGTATAATAAAAAATACTAGTAATATTAATACATCTTTAGTTCTTAAAACTTAATAATTAATGTTAATAATCATAATGCGATTATTCTTATTAACATTCAAAGGTATAACTTTTAATAAAAACAACTATAAATATAGTTACTATTTTCAATATCACCATATTGAATGATATTCAAATTGAGTCTGTCTCTATAATTAGAATAGTAAAAGTATAGTAGACATACTATAATTATAGTAAAAGTATTCAATTTAAAATAAAGAGTCAAAAAGCGACTCCGTGTTGAGAGATAGTCTTCAGTGTTTTTTTGAACATTGATATTCTAGTGTCGTAGTTGTACTTCTCCGCATCTTTTGGGTTAAGTTTATTGTTAGATGTGTTCTGGATGATCAAGTCTTGGAAAGACGAGATGAACAAATTGATGTCTTGAGGTTCACAGAGTTCTTGAATGAGGTTGTCTTTAATGCCCATGAATTCGTTTGGGAACAAGACCATGAGGGAGAAGACGGTATTAGTGAAATACGACATTTGGGATCCATTCAATATGTTCTATAAGTTAATTCTATAGTCTAATTCCACAGAGATACCGTTCAAGAACAACAAACAGTGATAAAGTAATGCATAACTTGTTGAACGAATTGTCGTAATAACCCTAACAGTGATTTTGCGTATGGTATTCTGTTCATATGATTATATGCCAAATATAATATACAACTGAACGCATTCGCCCCTTGCCCCGTCTCTTCGTTCTTCTTCGATCCCATTAACGAGACTGCTTCTGATATAAGGCTCGTGATATGTGTCTCAGGAAATTGCACAACAAGGACGTATCGCGCAACAGTAGCCACATAGACGGCATTAACTCGTTGCAGTTTGGGGTACTGATCTTTGAAGCGATGAACTGCAGAGAGAAGTTCATACATCGAGTACGCAAGCAGTTTGAATGACTCGTCGTTGTATAACGACAACACCGCAAAGTCAAAGGAACTGTTCCCCATCAGCGCTACTCCAGCTTGTAACACTAAAATGACATTCTCAAAGAACAGCGCTGATGGCTCTTGTGTGCTCTTCGCTACGGTATACGCTACCTTTGAAAAGCTGACAATGACTCCCGCTATCTTCAGAAACAGTCGAAGAGGCACAGTACTTTCCTTGCCAAACAATCGAAGCGTGTAGTTCGTCGATACAGCTTTAATAAATTTACACACCACCCCCCACTCCGCTGATGACGGGTCCGTCGTTGGGACTTGGAATAACTGATTTTCCATTGTGGCAATAGCTTGTGTGATGCACACACAACTATTGGTCGTCGCGGTTTTGAGGATGTTCGTGACATCTACAAGTCGAGTTAACGGGTTTGCCATGATTTTCATCAAACATGGAAGTATGATCTCCGATGAGACCCGTGCAAACAGAACACCAACTCCTTTAAAAAACACGGCTCTCGTCTTCATATATTCAACTGGATTTCGCGTCGATACTTGTTCGACAAAACAGAACTAGTCGTTAATAGTTAATTTATTAAATTTGTACACTATGTATTCTTATACTATAGATAATAGTATAATATAGTATAATATAGTATAAATTAATAGTATAAATAATAATATAAATGATCAATACAAACAAACGGGATTTTGATATATAAAGCTCAGTGGCTCCATTGTTAACATAATATCAATGAAGGACTTTCCATGGATCATTTTGTCGAATAGAGAAAAGATTGAACGTAATAAAGTGTAGTTTTCCTTCCAAAATGGGATCATCATGTAAATCTGTTTCAACACGCTAGCCAAAAAGGCCAAGTCTGACGGGGTGTAAGTCTTAGAAAACGTGACGAAGTCAGTCTCGTTCTTTGCGTTTGGGTCCCACAACGAGCTTGATATGAATCCGCCATAAAAGTCGATCATTGACTTTTGCAGATGACATTCCGGTGATTGATCATCAGCGGTGTTGAACTGATGGTTGAAAATTGTTTTATTCAATTGGAACGACGACGTGACAAGCATCACGACAAACTCGACAAAAGCCGAAGTCTTTTCTTTATCTGAGAGTTCTCGATAACTGACGAAGTAACTTGCCAAATAGAAGAAGTTAGTCAAGAGGTGATACGACTGATAGATGTCCTTTTTAATCATTTGGATTTGGTTGTAAAGTTTTTGTTCGATGGGACCCATTTTTTGGGGCAAGTCGTTGGACATCATCCACGTGAATGTCATCTTAAACAACGCAAACATCGTCGTGGCGTCGCACCGCGAGAAGAATCCAAAGTACTCTCCATTAGCGATCACTTCCTCTTCTTCAGACATTAACATCTTCACGTATACAATCGAAAACAATTGCCCAAAATTCACCGACGTCGTGAAGTCGTTCAGACTTAAATTAGTAAAGAAACTCCCCCAAAACTTCACTATGAAGAAAAACTGATTCGCGTCGACTTGGTCGATGATATCTCGCGTGCGCGTCGCTAACAAGTCCATCAATGGCATTGGAATATACTCAAAGATCGTTCGCTCTCGATTTAACCCACACAGTAACTGAAACCCTTTCACAGAGAGCTCCGGCGATTGTTTAATACACACCTCGACGACACTCAAGATCTGTTTGACAAACCATTCCCTATCCCCAACCTCATCTCCGTTGTTAAAACATGACATCCTTGTTGTGAGGAGTTTATCTAAGAAGTCCAAATTCGTTGGGATCGATTGCACGATTGAGG